TTGCTGGCACTGGCATAGGAGGCCGAACGCTGGTAGAACTTGCTCAGGCTCGGGCTGGAGGCCAATTGAATGCAAAGGTGAAGAGTGTCCCGGAGCAAAGAAGCGAAAAAGAACTCCCTCCTGTTCCAGTATGGGATCCGGAAATCTTCGGGGATGAGATGCCAAGTCCTTTCCTCAAGAAAGATGTCAAATCCGTGCGGGTTCTGCGGTGAGCATCCGAACTTTGGTGTGGATGCAACGCACGGAAGATAGAATAACGACGATCATGCGACAACGTAAAGGGCCGATCTGACAGGATATGGTCGGACGTGGATGGCATCTGGAAAAGCATTGTTTGGGATTCGGCTTTTCCAAGCGTCTACAGAGTCTCTATACCGAACAGAAAAAAACAGCATGTCAACTGGCCCATGGTTGCCTTGAGGCAATCAATCATTGGCATGTCGGAGCTACTCGAGACGAGACGACTGCCCTCTGTACAGATTTGGGCTTTCTTTGTTTCTTTTGTTTTCAAACGGTTGATGAGGGTCCAATGGATTTGTTGAAAAAGCAGGCGAATGACTATCACTCTGGAACAACGATGGCGCCACGAGGCTGGAGGTGTTCTTGACTGACCGCCGCAGTCAAGGGACTGTGATTTGTTGATTGATGGGCAAATTGATTTTGGCCACTTGGAAGAAATGAGTCCCGATTTCCCGCCTTTTCTCTGGACGAGGTTTGGAGTTTGCATGGGCGGATGGGGTATCCCTTGGGTTAGAACGGTGCGCTGTTCGTATGCATGCAAGCGAGCTCTCCATGTCGACACACACCGAAGTCTGTGTCTGCCTTTTGGATACACACTAGAATTAGGATTGAGGACCTCTTGTATACAGATACAACATCAGTGGTGCCTCGAGGCAGGAGATGAGTATCGATGAACCTATTTCCGAGACCCCAAAGCCCCCCCGGATGCCTTCCTTCTCTCGTGCCCTTCCTCGCTTGGCCTTTTCACGCATCCTCGTCTTCGACCTCTTCAATCTCAACGTATCTACGTGGTATGCGCTGTGACTCCGGGGTTTCTCTGGGACGTCTCTCTTCATACATAGCCTCGGGGGCCCTCTCGGCCTCGGCGCCGTTGGCCTCTTGGTCCTGCATCGCCACCTCACGAAGAAAACGCTCTTCCTCCTCTGCAAGCCTCCTGGCGTTCTCATCTTCATTCATGTCACCGGTGGCGGTGGTTGTGGTTGTGGTTGTGGTCGCAGTTGTGACAGTCTGTGTTCTGCCATCATTCGTCCTGCCTAGATAGCCCTCCGCTTCTAATCGATCCATCTCTTCCGGCTCGATCAAACGACCCGTGGGCCCTCCCCTTGCGGTCTCTTGTTTCTTGCGTACAACGTCCGGGACGAATCTGTTGACGGCTTCTTTGCGGAGATCACGAATCTGTGGGGCGCTTTCGTATGTGGTTTTCACTGCTATGGGCGTCGCAACAGGTTTGACAGGTAGCTGTCTGCTCGAGGCAGTTGGTTGTTGAGCATTACCACCGTCTTCCATGCGCGGGAAATAGCGCCTGTACTCCCGTGGGATGGGTGGCGGCGTGTCTTCTGGCATGGGAATGCGACGGACAGATTCGTCTGTGTCACTTCCTGATGACTCTTGTCTATGTTGGTGTTTACGCTGGCCATCATGCCTTCTCTTGCCCAAGACAGTGGTATTGTCCTCCCCATCCCTCCGGCGTGGTTGCCCTCCAAAGGTTGGTGCTTTGTCGCCCAGAGCCTCTCTTGCCTTTTTGACTGCACGTAGATCTCTTTCCAAATCTTCTAGAATGGCTCGCTCTCGAGGTTTGATATCTCCCGTCGCTTCGAGGGCCTTCAGGTCATCGATTTGGCGCTGGATGCGCTCGGGATTTCGGCGGGCTAATTTCTCATTGCGCCTTGCTTGTAGCTCTGCCCGGCTCTTTTTCAGCTGTTTCGCCTTTTCGAGCCTGCGCTGCTGTTGTGCAGGATTGACAGATCGTTCCTTGTCTTTGGCCATCGGGTGGGGATGGTATTTGAAAATTAGAAGGATAGACGGTACAGGAGGTTTGGGTTGATGGTGTTGACCAAAAGTCTTGACCTGCAACACGACGTCAGATGTCAAAAAGATCGGCCGGTGCTGCAGGCGCCTGCAGTAGTACAAATCATGCAGTCAAGGGCGGATTGACTAAGTCAGCTGCTAGATTTGATTGACTGCAGACACTTCTTGGGCTGCTTGGTTCACGTCCACACCCATGAAACATTGGGTCTCACCGGTCAGGAGTAGACGAACTCTAGAGGCAGGATCCAGGAGGGTTACAAGGTCCGCTGCAGGGTAAAAGATCAGAGAGGATGCAACAAGATGGGCTTTGATGGGTAGGCTGCAGTAGTGCTGCAATGGTCGATGCAGCTACCTCTGGGAAAAGAGTTGACTCCTGCATGAACGCGTAGGCCTGCCCTCGTGAACCAAATCAGACAATGGTAATTGGAGCTGCGGTAAGTTGTCACAAGCCTGGCAGCAGCACTGGCAGCCCGGCGTGGTGGATGTGCTTGTCGTTGACTTCAGTGTGTGAGCGCCGACACGCTGCACAAGGTCGATACGGGCGCAGGTGGATCAACCGTGCCTTTACGGGTACTCTTGGCGATGTGAAGAACAAGCAACGAGGAGGGAATTGATCAAGGAAGAATGAGTGAGGAATGCAGAGTGATAGAGGGATTGTAGAATTTCGTTCTGAGTACTCGGCAACAAGCATCAAGCAAATCAAGAAGGGAAGGAGCTCATTCTTCTCTCCCTCCCTCTCCCTCTCATCTTCCTGCGCCTCCGGCTGCGTTCTCCCTCTCGACCTGCGCTGGCGGTCTACCTAGAAACTCTCGCTTGCTCACTCGCTCGCCCTCCCGCTTCCCCTTCAGTGGTTGTTTCTCGGAATGCTCAAATCAAGATCCAACGGCCAGCTCGCCAGGCACCCTCCCATGTCGGCTGTGCCTTTTTCTCTGCTGCTACTCGCTGTCGCCCTTCTATGCCCCACGAAAGTGATCCTCCTTTACCAACACTAACAAGACCACGACTCCAGACCCAATCGAACATCCTTCCCCCCCCTCCCACGGCGCTGTGAATGTCAGTCACCTGCCTGTCCCCACGATTACTTTGGTCCTTGTCGCTCCTTAGCCAGGCACTAGGCTGCTGAGGGCCCATCAAAGGAAGTGCAGAATACTACTGACCTAACGACAACGGCTGAGATAGCCGCGCTCCTCTTTCCTCTCGCTCTCTCAGCTCATCAGCTTCATTGTTTTTTTGGCCTTCTCCTTTACCCTGCGTCGTATCCGTTCCTCAACACCTCCTTCTTGTCATTGTTGCAGGCGATGAAACAATACTGCTCCTCAACCGTCTCGTCCGCCGCCATCCCCGCTCCCGTTTCCGTTTCCGCGCCTAGTCTTGTCTCCTGGTTCTAGTCTGCTGCTCGTCGCTGCTCTGCTCTGCCGACCGTTGTCCTACCCCTCTTGGCATGAGCTGAAGCCGAACCGCCCGCTCATCGTTAAATAAGCACTCTTGACCGTCAGCCGCCGGGATTCTGGGAGCGGGGAAAGAGAGGGAAAGAAGCCCAAAAAAAAATCCAGTCAGCCCGTTTTGTTTGAGAAAAGAGAAATTGCGAGCGCTTCGCCAAACTTGAGGCTCTGCGGTCGCCAGCGACGCGCCCATTGATACGCCAAAGCTACAATGACCAGCCTCATCCCGACTGCCATATCTCGCAGCTCGTTCGCTGTCTGGTGCCTCTTGCACTACTCTTGACGGCTTCTCGCAAACCTATCAGCTCTCAGAACTGCTATGTACCGTTTGACCACCACGGGTACCTGTCGAAGCTCATCTGCCTCAACGCCTAGATTGGTCACTTCCCTTACTGTCTCTGCTGCCCGCTCGGGACGTCCATGTCCGCGACTCAGTCAGTCGCCGACTCCGTTCTGGGTTTAACTCAATCTGAGTTGTTTCTCCTCCGACAACAACAACAAATCCTGGCCCAGCGAAGTCATCAAGGCGGCATGCCCGACCGTGGCCGTGGCACTAGCAGGCAGTCGCAGCCTAGCTCCCGCGCGGTCAGTGCCGCCAGCAGCCAAAGTGTCCCAGGCCGGATCATGCTGGATCCGCATAGTCTGCAGACTTTGTATGCACACCTGGAGAACGTGATGAGGAATATCCAGCGACGGATTGCTGAGGTATGCGTTCCAGCCTCGGTCTGGCCGAAGTTCTCCGTGCATAAACTGACCGACTTGTAGCTTGAAGACGCAACTGCACAGTCAGTCAGAAATTCCAGCAGCCGAGCCGGAAATACCGTGCAAAATGCAGATAATGAGATCGCCAGGATGCGGCGCATCATAACCGAGATAGACAACCTTGAACAACAGTTCGAGCAACTCGGGCGGGTTCGGGACAAAATCAAGGCCATCAGAAACAACGTGGATGAGCTGAGTGAGAGACTGGATCGCAGTCGCCCCAGCGGTCACAGTTCTGGAGGAGCACGACCTCGGCGCTGAAGCGCAATGGCTCCATCGGGACGTTGGGCGAAACCTGAACAGTACAAGCAACTATAATTCTACGAAGGCCTAGAGCGCGCGAGGCTCGATGTTCTGGACCATATCTCACAGCATCGGAGATTCAAAACTCCTACAACACACCCTCGTCCCTAGTGTTTCAGATTTGTTTTACCACCTTTTCGACGGCGAACGCAGAGATGGATGCCCCACGGCAGGTCATTGGTTAACGAGGTCATGCTTGATGAATGTACGACTATTGAGAGGGACTATTGTTTTTCTGTGCAATTTAGCATGAAAACTTTGACCATTCGGCGTTGGAATGGATGTAATGATGAGTTTCTCAATCTCATGCGCTCTGGATGGGTTTCATCCGATAGAGATGTCGTGGCTCAGGCCGCAAAACAGACACGGTTGGGCAGGGTCCCCTTTGAAACTTGAGGAGACGAGAAGCTGGTGGTTTGGTGACAATGTAAATGTTTGTTATGGTTAAACCTTTGCAATTGGCTTTGATCCTTCCACCCCGACTTGATCCCCCTTCTTTCGCAAAGGAAATCGTTTGATAGACCCGCATTTGTCGCAACGGATCTCGAACAGGTCCGCCCATGGTCTCCTGCCTCCCTTACTGGGGTTGACGACCTTCTCTGTCATTGTCTCACCAGGGATCAGGAGTGCATCGCAGCGCTTGCAGATTGAATGCTTCAGTCTTGGTGCCAGGCGGATTTGCGACTTTCGAGAGACGGCGCGGAGATGCATCAGTAGGCGGGTAGCCTCAGTTAAATTGTACGAGGTCGAGTCCTTGATGTCCACGGAAGCTGCAGTTCCGGCAGTCTCAGCCACTCCCTGCTGAGTATTGTAGTTGCCGACGGTTGCTAGATATGTGGCAGCCTGGTGGAGGTACGATAATCTGGAGTGAAGATGTTTCTGCGGCACGTTGTCCCTCTTAGAGGACTTTGATTTGGCCATGCGGGCGATTTCTGGGGATATTGGAGCATTATTCTAGATGCCAATTTCTCAAGGGCCCTGCGCAAAGGGTTCACGTTGTGGGAAGTATGTACCGAGTAGTTTTTGAGTCGTCTACCGAGTATGGGTCGCTTCTGGTCGTTTGCAGGGAGGTAGGGACTTTCTGCTGCGGCAGTGAGGCGATGTGGATGACTAAGCAAGACAGCCTTGGCGCGACGCCTCACTAGCCCTTCGCCCCTGCCTGCGCCTTGCCCTGCCTGCCCTGTCCGCTGCTGAAAAACAAACCTGGAACATTCCTGCACAGGCATCGTTCCCATCCACTATTTCTTCTTCATCCATCTTTTCTCGACTTCTTCCCCTTCATCAGACTCTTCAACTCTTGTCGCATCGTTCGCAGACCTTGACTGGTTCTGTCACCTACCACCTCTTCTTCCTACTCTTCTACTCCTGATCCTGATCCTCGCGGCTCGAAACAGCTCTTCATCTCACTTCAGCCTCTTACAGCCCCTGGTTGACTTCCGTTCATAGCCTCAGCCATAACCACACCAACGCACCATGTCTGCTGAAGAAGATCTTATCGACTACTCGGACGAGGAACTCCAAGCCCCCGAGGCTCCCGCCGCCGGCGCGACCAACGGAGCCGCAAAGAAGGGCGATCTGACAGTCAGCGGAGGGAAAACTACCGACAAAGGAAAAGGCAGTTACGTCGGCATCCACTCGACGGGCTTCAGAGACTTCCTGCTCAAAGGCGAGCTGCTTCGAGCAATCACCGACTGCGGTTTCGAACATCCTTCGGAGGGTTAGTCATCCATCATCCATCCTGCCATCCATTCTTGCAAGCAAAATATCCACCCTCCAAGTTCTTCCTGCTGCGAGCGCGTCCGTCCATCTCCAAAAGAAAAAAAAGAGAGAGAAAAAGAAAAAAGAAACACAAGAATCGGTCAAAAGGTTCTACGGATTCGAAAGTCTCCGGTCGGCGCTTCCACGGGCCAAAATTGGCGGGCAATAAAATGCCACAGCCTTACGTCGGCTTTCTCGACGTACGGTCATAGAAGGTCGCAGTTCCCAAGACCGAGAAGTGAGAGCATAGCTTCTTCTCTAGAGTCGCCACTTAGCTCCGCTGTCCAATTGACATGCTGAAAATGCTGTCAAGGGTAACACTCTCGCGCAGCCAGGCTAACGTCGAACCCCCGATGTGACATTCGTGGGAAATGGTGCCCTGGACCCCCGTTAATGCAAGTCGGTAATAGAACCAGTTTTAACGGGGCGGGTCCAGCGGTGATACGGCTCGTTCCTCTCAGGTTCAAATTCAAGGAGATGGACGGACCGGCCTGCGATGCTCTTTTGTCGTCTTCGCACATTCTTTACCGAACCAAGTCTAACATCACCGATTTCCTGCAGTCCAACAAAAATGTATCCCACAGGCTCTTCTCAGTGTCGACATCCTGTGTCAAGCCAAGTCTGGTCTGGGTAAAACGGCAGTCTTCGTCTTGACCACCTTGCACCAACTGGAACCTGTTCCTGGCGAATGCTCTGTGCTGGTCATGTGCCACACCCGTGAGCTTGCCTACCAGATCAAGAATGAATACGCGAGATTCAGCAAATACCTTCCAGATGTGAAGACAGCAGTCTTCTACGGCGGTACACCAATCCAGAAGGACATCGATCTCCTCAAGAACAAGGAATCCTTCCCCAACATCATTGTCGGGACCCCCGGTCGTCTCAATGCCCTTGTCCGTGACAAGATCCTGTCGTTGCGAAATGTCAAGGCATTTGTGCTCGATGAATGCGACAAGATGTTGGACCAAATCGGTATGCCTTAGGATCCATCTTCCTCAATTACGCCACTTTCTAACGAAGCTATTTCAGACATGCGGCGCGACGTCCAAGAAATCTTCCGAGCAACTCCCACCGAGAAACAGGTCATGATGTTCAGTGCAACCTTACCTCAGGACATCCGACCTATCTGCCGCAAGTTCATGAGAAACCCTCTTGAGGTGTTTGTCGATGACGAGACCAAGCTCACTCTCCATGGCCTCCAACAATACTCCATCAAGCTTAGCGAGGGCGAAAAGAACCGCAAACTCAATGACTTGCTCGACAGCCTCGAATTTAACCAGGTCATCATCTTCGTCAAGAGTACTCTCCGCGCCACCGAACTTGACAAGCTGCTTCGGGAATGTAATTTTCCGAGTATTGCGGTGCACTCTGGTGTCAGTCAAGAGGAACGGTAAGCGAACATACATTCACCGTCCATCAACAACGTACTAACAGTTTTCTACAGTATCAAACGCTACAAAGAGTTCAAGGAGTTCAACAAGCGGATCTGTGTCGCCACTGATGTGTTCGGTCGGGGCATTGATATCGAGCGCATCAACTTGGCCATCAACTACGACTTGCCCGCCGATGCCGATTCCTATTTGCACCGTGTGGGTCGCGCCGGACGATTTGGTACCAAAGGGTTGAGCATCAGTTTTGTCAGCAGCGAGCAGGATGAGGCTGTGCTCAAGGAGATTGAGAAGCGGTTTGATGCTCAGGTGCCCCCGTATCCTGAGGGTGGGGTCGACTCAAGTACCTACATGGCTTCTTAGACCAGGAGCTCAACAGGATGATGAACAATCCGGTTGAGGTTCTCAATTGAGATAATTTGTGCAGAAGTTGACAAATCAATGTCTTTTCTTTTGCTCGGCAGAAGATAACCACGTATGTGTATCATGGGGTCTTGCTGGGATAGGGGAGGTTTAAGGAAAATTGAAATCAGGGACAAATTGCCTTGCCATTCAGGTTGGTTGGGGTCTGTTACGACGAGAAAGCTTTACATAGCTAGTCCTTGCCTTGGAACTTTCCCAAAAAGATATCATTTCATGCGCGAGATTGTCATGCGTTCTCTTATCAACGTTCTCGTCGTGATGTTGACCCTTGTTTCTTCTATATTCTATCCCATTTATAACGCAGTATCCGGGTTCTTGCCCGTGCCGGTTTCCATAGTCCGACCCGAGCTGTAACACCAAAGACACCGACGAGATCTGAACAACCTCCTCCCTTCAAGGATCCTCTCCGTCCCTCTCTCTCTTTTTTCTTGGAACGCGATCAACTTGAATGCAAGGAGAGAGGGGCTTGGTGCTTTCGGATCACTCTTGAAGCCTGGGTGAGGCTAGGCCATATCACGTTACGAACGATGAGGCAAAATGAGGTGTCTAATGTTGTCAAGCCTAGTTAGTGAATCAGGCATCAAGTTTCAACCGCTCGAGAAGGCGGTCAATCTTGGCCAGGAGGATCTGGTAATTGACGGCATCGGCGGCAAATTCGTCGCCGGCGAGTTCGCCGTCGAGCGTGCGCACGGCGCCGGATTGCAGGAGCACCTCGACCGAGTCGGGGTCTGTTCGTAGGTTCGATGCCGGGCCGCCTCCGAACCCGGCGGCCGTGGAGTCGACGAGGGGAGCGGGAGCCGGTATGGGCGTCGACATGTCCACGCCTTCGTCGTCGGGAAACTGTTGTGCAGCCTTCTGGGAGTCTGCTTGTGCCGCTGCTGGTTGCGAGCCCCACTGGGGCAGAGAGACAACAGGTGGCGTTGTCGACTCGCCGCCAGCATGTCCATTAACTTGCACCTCTCCATTGGATTGTGAGAGTGCCTGCGCCATCATGGCCCGCTCCTCGTCCATGACGTCCTCCAGACCCGAGTCCTCAAACCTCAATCGGAACCTCTCGCTCAAATAGTACCGAATGTCGTCCAGCAATTCAATCGAATCTGTTTCTTGTCGTGCGCTGATTCGGCTGGCAGACTCCTTTACAAGCTCTGCAAAGTCCGGGTCGTCGATGTAAGACTCGAGCCGGTAGGCGATGTAGCGTGCGGCGAACTCTTCAAGGCGTTGAACGCGGGTAAGCCAGGCGGCGCGCAGGATCTCGTAGATGTCCAGATCTTCGTCTGCTCCCGAGTCGTCGGCGGTTGTGTCGTTCTCGGTGGTTGCCATTTCCGGGGATGAGGCGTTCGGCATGGTCATGGCAGTTCCACTGCCAAGCGACGAGATCACTAGTGCAGCTTTGGCTTTGACTTTCTCCAGAAACAGCATGTCCGCGGCGAAGAGGACGTCGACAGCGATGTCCAGCCCAAAGTCCGCTTTCTCGGCGTACAGAAACGTCAGGATGATTTCAAGGACCTCAGGGCTACAGTCGATGGGCACAATTTGGAGGTGCGGTGTATCTTGGGCTTCGCGGAACGAGGATTCAAACATGGCCATGAAGAATTCGGAGCGGATGAGCATGGCTTTGTGGCAGGGGTAGATTTTGGATTTGCGTGGCTTCCTAGAGCGGGAGGGAGAGCGGGATGCGTTGGACTTCTGGTCGAGGGGAATGCCCAAAGCATTCGTGGCAGATTGAGATTGTTGCGGTTGCCGGTCTGTTGCGGTTTCCTCGTCGACTTCGTCTTCGTCGGCTCGGAGAAGCACGTCTGCAAAGATACCGTTGTCGCGATCCCATTTGACATGGTCGGCTCGCGAGGTCTCGACCTCAATCGCGTGGTTCAGGACATTGTCCCGGAACCATTGCTCTAGCTGGTCGCGGCCTCTTTGGATCTCGTCTTGCCGCCGCTGTCTTGCTAATCGACGGTCATTGCTGTCGAGGATTAACTGTGAAAGGTTGTGGATCTCTAGATGCTTGCTGATTCGGTCAACACCGGCAAGGATCTCGGAATCCGTGAACCCGGTACCTGGCCCTCCGCCGAGATCTCTGGGCACTTCTCCGAGATACAAATGCTTCAGGGCGATGGCAAATGATTGTGGGGGAATCGTGGGGGCTGGTTTCCAGAGTTTGGTGTCCGGAGCCTGACTGAGTTTGCTCTTGAAATAGGGGGACCGCGCGGAGAGAATAAATTTGTGTAAACGGAACGATTCGGTGGGCGTGATGACGGTAATATCATGAGTCTTCGGATGGTCTCTGGTCAGCAATGACACCAAGTGTGACGCCAACGGCTGTAAAGGATCCGTCGTCTTGGAATAGTCGTATTG